GGTGCTGAGAATCAAACCCGGGTCCTCTGCAAGAGCAGTTAGTGCTCTTAACCACTGAGCCATCTCTCCAGCCCCCCCTTTTCTTTTTTGAGGCAGGCTCTAAGTTAGTTGCTCGGGTTGGCCCTTAACTTATGATCCTGCTGCCTCAGCTTCCCTAGTATCTTGGATTGCATGCCTACCTCACCAGGCCTGGCTAGTAAAGATTTTGTAGTTCAGAATTTGAACAATTCAAGACAATTTTATAATGACCGACAAGAGACCACAGATGATTCATGTATTCTGTATACAAGGTATTTACGCTTCCATCTGCTCTACCACTTTCCCTCCCTATCTTCATACTTTGGTTTTTTAAACAAGGACTCACTATGTAACTCAGCCTGGTCTGGAACACCTATGTATCCCAGGTTAGCCTCATATTTTACAGTGATCCTCTCCTGCCTCAGCCTCCTAAGTGCTGAGATTACAGGTGTGGGATACATACCTGACTTTCAAGATCATTTTATTATAATAATTTAGGGCAGAACACCAGGCTAAAGTTTTGTTGTATTTTGTATTGAAGGTAAATATTTATAACACTGATCTGCTCTACCTCCCCTCATCAGTATTTCACCCAACCAATGATGGTTTGACTTACCATTTCTAGAGACTGCTTCCTTGAAAGAAACTAGTGGGACTGAAACTACCAGTGTGCCCAACATTCTTTCTACACTTGTCTTACTCTGGCATGGAGCTGTGTACAGCTGGGGATATAACTGGAGTAGACCAAGAGGGACTCCCTGTTATGACAAAGGGGTAACCATAGGTCCTGTCAGAAACACTGGAGATTGATACGTTCTTTTAAAAAAGACTTTTATTTTTAATTATATTTTTATGGGTATGGTCATGTGCACATGAGCGCAGGTCTCTGAAAAAGCCAGAGGCATTGGACCTCCCAGGAGCTGCAGTTATAGGTGGTTGTGAGCCGCTAAACATGGTTGCTGGGAATTGAACTTGGACCTCTGAAAGAGCAGTATGTGCTTTTAACTTCTTAACCATCTCTTCTGCCTGAGATTTAGACTTTCTGTCTTGAAGTTTTCCACTAAAGTGGCAGGTTTATATAACTGTTATTAGGAGCACACTCAACGTAATATCACAAAATAAACTTTCTACTTTTTGCCAAGGGGAGAGCAAGAGCGAGTGAGTGACGGAGCGAGAGAAACAGAAGCAAACTCATGCACTGTATTTGAAGCAGAGGCTGTGGCTTTCCCTCATTCTTACTGAGTCTCTTCAGTTCTGCTCGGCCACTGTTCAGCCATGTGCCTCCTGAGCTCCAGAGGGGGGACTAGATATGCAATGAAATCTTATTACTCAATGTAGAGATTGATTCACTAAAATATATTTGGGTTCTTGTGGCCAATGAGCTAGAGGGGTAAGACAAGTGTCTTGTTGGGGCACTTTGGGGAAGGTTTCCTTGAGTTACAAAAAGGAGCTGATGAAATATTTTCCTTCTTTTCAGTCTCTGGATGATGTTACTTGATGATGCAATACTTAGAGTCCCTGTGGCCATTTTGAGACCTAACATGTCTTTTTCATATGGAAATATATTTCTATTTCTGTAAACTAGAGATAGTCCAAAGAAACCTTGGGAATCATCAAATTCAATAGTTTCATTCATTTTATTTGGAGGGGGGGACCAGGTTTTATATTGTGTAATTTAGTAATAGTCCCTTATGAAAATCGTAACTCTTAATTTAACCATTAGGTTTGAATAACAGTGATACTCTTGAACACAATCTAACCCTGTGCTATTTAGAGAGAAATTTTATGTGACTCCTTTAATTATATAATAATTTCCAGAACTGCCCTACTGTCAGTAGCTCAGTGAGTGGGTGGAGTGTTTACAGAATACTGAACCAAAAATTAAGATGGGTGATATTTACAGAAGTGTAGAGGTGACTAGTAAAGCATTAAGTCTTGTCACAAATATTACAGGTAGCACAAGCCAAAATAAGTTTGTTGAGTTTGCTGTGCTATCCCTGCTGAGTGCCTTACTCAGCCGCAAACAAGTCTCACTGCAACTAAGCTAAACAGGATTGTCATACCCATTTTGTGCTGGGGAAATGGAGGTTATGTAACAGTAAGCAGCTTGTTAGGAGGTAGGAAAACTCGGATGTGAGTCCGACTCTGAAGCTCAAGCTAATCACTAGTTTTCTGAATCAATTTATGGTTAAGACATTCAGAAGATGTTTAGTGACTAATTAATAACTAACTACTCTCTCTCCCCAAAAGGACCTCTGTTTTGTTTGAAGATGATTCATGATCAAGTTAACGAACTATAACAATTCCATTTCCTTTTGCTAGTGACTTGTCTGAGGTGGCCATGTGACCATTTTTCTAGCCAATCAGGGCAACTTAACTGGGGTGGCAGCAATCTAGGTAGGATTTTTCTCCTTCATAAAATTGGGAGCAACACTCCCTTACCCTCCCTTCCTGTTTCATATAATCACCCCTGAGGATGTGATGTCTGGTGCTATGATAGCCACTCTGTAATTAAGAGGTGACAGGCATTGAATCAAAAGCCAATGTGGACATAATAGCAAAGAGAAAACACAAAGAGAGCTTCAGTTCTTGATGACAGAGTCCTGCTGCCCCACTAGACCTGAAACTACCTACACTTGAACTTTATCCTAAAGATGTAATAAATGACCTCATACTCCAGGCTATTTGTCAGATGTTTTGTTCCTTGCTGCCAAAGGTATTCTGAACAGATACAGTTTAGGCAGTCTCAACCAAAATAGATGATGTGAAAACGGTCAAGTTTTCATCCAGCGTAAGTTGTTCAGAAAACAAATTTTGTTTCAGATGTGGGTCAATCTGAGTAATCCACATGATGTTCGAGCTAAACATTTTCCCCTCCCCTTTCCTTCCAAGTATGGTGGGGCTTCCTCTTCTCTCATGGTGAGGCGTGGACTGCATCAAAAGCCTCCTCACTCTCTGGTTTCCAATGGTCTTGGCTAGAGGGAGCCTCAGCAGGATGGAGGGCGGTACTATAGCAATCTCCCAGCTTCTCTCTTGGCTAATTTCTCAGCTGACTGCGTGGAAGGTCACACGTTCCTGTCAGGCAGCCTCTCTGCCCCAGTCTCGATAACGGTTGCTTCTTTGCTAGCACAGATTTGGGAGTCTGCAGCTCCACTTTCCTTGTGGTTTCTCTAGCCCCGCCCACATTTTTGTAAAGGGCATTGTCTCCCGGAGGGCCCCGGACCAAATCAGTGGTGTGAAGGAAATCACTGCAGCTGTCTGAAGTTTGGTCCAGTCTGTCTGAGTCTGGAGAGTTCTTGAGTTTAAATAAGGGCTTTCTATCATTAAAGGGAAACAGAAGACATGCTCTGTCACAAAAGTGAGACAGTGTCACAGTTCAGAGAAAACACTTTCCAAGAAATCCTAGAAGACTACTTGGAAGGGATGAGAGTTTTAAAGAATGGATGGAGGGCATTCCAAAGACAAGAAAGAATGCGTCCAGCCAGGAAGCAGAGAAAACTCAAGAAGAGTGTCTGAAAAATTAGAGCTCCGAGGGACATGAGGTCTTTTTTTTTTGTTCACAGTTATTCCACCTTCTTTACAGATGAGCAAACGTGAAGCAGAGATCAGGCCAAGATCAAGCAGCCAGTAGGGTGTATGGCTGGACTTAGCTCTGCAGGCGCCAGGCTGGTTCCTAATCCCCCTCCTACCTGCCTTCAAGTGATCTGCTTATTTGTCAGTCTCTCCCACTAGACTACATTCTCGAGAACAGGGTCTCTGTTTTTCCCATCCTTGAAGCCTAGAAGCTAGTATCATGATCTTCACTTTTCAGCTGGGGATGCTTGGTTCACACCTGCTAACTTGCTTCAGGTCACACAGCAGTAAAGCGCAGGGCTGTATTTTACTCTTCATCAACTGGACTCCGAAATCCTCACCTCAATGGTCGTTCAATAACTTTTGTTGACCGAAAGAACGACATCGACTCTATGTAAGCAACCAGCTCAACAGGCCCCTCTAGAGGCCCTGCAGCTCGCTGGGGTCGATGGGAACTGGGCTCGGACCTTCGTGTGTAGCTCTCTGGGGCTGGGCGCCCAGCTCCGACTCCGAGGCCCCGCCCCACCAGAAACCACGCCCCCTGTCAACCGGCCACGCCCCCACCCCGGAGTTGGGTCTCCCTTGAATGCGAGTTTCCCTGGGCTCCTAACGCTGGGCGGAAGGCCTCTAGCGGCCCTGCGACCGGCTGCCCACTCCGCGGCCCTCCTCTCTACTCTCCTCCCCTTCGCCCTCTCTCACACTCCAAACTTCTTTTTTTCTCCCTCTCTAAACTTCAGTCATTCTAGTGCACGCCTCCTCTACTCAGTTCAGCCAATCAGAATTCTGTATTCTCGCAGAGGTTCCGCCCCTTTCCCACCGGAAGCCAATCCCCGAAGCGGAGTCGACTGCTGGGCGCGTCCCTCAGCGCCTGGCCGGTGACGGCAGCGCGCCGGGCGCCGGCTGCGGGGGAGGGGGGGGGCGGGGCCGGGCCGGCGAGGGCGGGGGAGGGGCCGAGTGGGGAGGAGGTTGCGGCTGGTTTGAAAGCGCCAGTTTCCTGGCAGCCGGGGCAGGCGTTGGTCTCCACGCTCCGGCTCCGCAGCGGTCGCGCTTCAGCGGACTACCGGGCTCCGTGCGCGCGCCCCCGACGGAGCCTC